GTATGCACAATACATACATATCTGCATGTTATTTCCTTTATTCATAAAAATATGTACTTACCACCTGAGACACGTTGTTGATAATTAGAAGGTAAGACCATGCCCCTTCAAATGCGAAGCTCCCCTCGTTGTAATGCTCGGTCAATTCACAAATCCTGCATGGGAAAAAAATAGTAGTTTGTTTTTGTTTTGATATCGATTTTCGTCTTCCTAACCGACCGTTATGGTTTTTTGTTTGTTTTGTTTGTTTAATTTATTTCTCCACACACATGAACATATTAACATATGGTTCAAATTTAGGGTTCTAAAACTAAGGGTAAGCTGTAACTTGGTGCCTGCATCTGTGGTGCGCGCTTTCGCATTTTCAGTGTCCTAGGCTCAAATCTTACAGATTGTATTTCTAACGGCTAAAATTCATGTCCTGTTGACCTTTTGGGAGTGAAAAAATTATCAATTGACCAATGAGAACAGGGCTCTTAATACGCGCTTGTCCTATAAATACACGTGATTTAAATAATGCACCTGTGTACGTACATTTATAGCTGTAGTTTTTTGAGACCTTAAGCCGGGAACTCACTGCGTCGTACGACCGTCGCACGACGAATCTACCTCTGCTTCCGGCGAGCGATAGACGACGCACCGCCGTCTGCTAATTGTCAGTGGCCGTCGGAACGGATCCTCATTAAAAAGCGATCCGTTTAGTCCGCGCCGTCGTCGCGTTGCCGTCGCAGTGAGTAACCGGGTTTATTATTATTTATTACTGCATTTGAACTCAATATCAACATAACTTGACTTCTCTTAATGATACCGTATACAAAAATAAACCGGCTTTACAGTAGCAAAATCCAAAGGGTGAGGCTTAGTGGAATACTCCAATGAATTATTATATGGATTTAGTATTTTATAAATTTTGTAATGAAATAGACTATATGAAGTTTTAAACATTAACTAAAAATACAATTTTCAAGAAAATTATTATTGTAAGCTGCTGGTAGCCACTCTGTACAACATTATGTGTGGTTCAAATCAATTTTTGGTCTGTGGTTCAGTTGATTCCCTACTTGAATGAAAACCACGTATAAAACAGTGACGGATTCAAGGGTGGCTAAGTCGGCACGTCTTCCCCACCCCACCTCACCACAGCCTACCCAGATTTTTTTAAATGCAGAAAAAAAAGAAAATTGTATTGAAATTTAAGTCTAAGAGTTGGAGCCTCTATCTCTGAATATCCATGCCTTGGCCTCCTCTATTACGAATTTCTGAATCCGTCACTGTAATATTAACGAAAGAATATAATGTTACTAATTAATTTGTATACAAATTTTAAAACCGAAAAGCATTTGTTTATGATGTATTACTATGGTAAATTTTTTTAAATTGTATTTCATTCCTCCATGATAATACTCACAGGGCAATGATTGTTGTAATGGGTCGTAGGACAGTATAGTTAAGTACTCCATGTTTACATCTTCTAATAATACTAGAAAAAAAGAAACATCGTATTAAAATGAAACTGAAACTATAAAATAATGTATATTGGAAAAATGTGAAATTCAATAAATAAATAAATAAATGTAGAAAAGATACATTTGGCTAGCTTTTGCGCTACTGCATCATCATGTACATTCATCATCATCAACAATACCATAATTAATATTATTTTCTTCACGATATTTATCTTACTTATCATCATTATAAGTATTACCACATTATCATCAACACCACATGACCA